CCGCCAGGCCCGCCCTAACCCCGCCCCCAGCGACGCCTCCCGTCTTGGTCCCGCCTCCTCCTCGCTTCCGTCCTTAGCCAGACCCCGCCCACTCTCTCCGTACCTCGGAGGGCGGAAAGGAAGTTTCCCTTTCTAGAACTGGAGGATTTCTGGGGTCCGGTCACCACCCTGCTAACCCTTTTTCCTTTTTCTGCCTCTCTGTACCCAGGTTTCCGGAACCTCAAAACCTAAAGAATTTGTTTTGCGCCGGATTCCAATATCCTGAGCACTGGAGGAAGCAAAAGGACTTGCTCCCAGGTCAAAGGACTGAGCCCGGGTTCGGCGGGCGCCCCCTAGCGGGCGGGAAGACCTATCTGGGTATTATTTTCCGGGCCCAGGAGCTGGGCTCCGCTCTTGCGCGGAGTTTTTACGCTTTGGGTGTCATTGTACGCAGGCGCAGTGCTGCAAGCACGCCATAGTGTTTAGGCACGTTTACACCTTGTTGCTTGCACGTGGACGCATCCCTGCCCTAGTGGGCGCCCATTCTATATTCTCCCACGTGGAAGCTTTCAGTAGCCGACCCCAGCGTTACATTCACTAATACATAAAGAACTGGGAGACCAAACATGCTTGCTTCCCTGAAGAATAATGCCACTTACACACCATCTTCTTTCTTTTTCTTGGGAAATATTTCTAACCGCTTTGAATCTCAGTTTATCTGTACAATGGGGACAACAATAATCCCAAAGTGTTGAAAGTTGTATAAATAATTTAAATGTACTTAGTAGTGGTTTATTAAAAGGAATTCTATGAAAAATAGAAAAGTAATGGGAAAAACATAATTTTTAATAGACGATGTGGGTTTAAGTGCTGACCCCTGCAATTTTTACCACTGCAGTGCCAGGCAAGTTACTTCCGCATCTTAGTTTATCAGGCATGTATTTATATATTCACACATCACCTGAAGAAAAGAAACACAACAAGTAACTATTGCTACTCCATTTAATCTTTGGGGGGGTACTGGGGCTCGAACTCAGGACCTTGTGCTTGCGTGGTAGGTGGTGGCACCTCCGAGCTAAATTCCTGCCCCTTGTTCCATCTAATCTTAATGAGAGGCCTGGTATTACTCTATGTCAGAAATTAATGTTCCTAGATTGAAGAATGAAAAAAAAATGTAGATTTGTATTACAAAATCTTTGTTAATTAAGGAGTTAGCAATACTGACTAGTAGCCACTAACTCACTATCAGACATCACATACTCCTAATAAAAAATAAAATATCTTTGCCGAAAACAGCTTGAATCTGAGCAAGCCTAATTATCTACTTGTAAGAAATGCAATATACGAACAATACTACAAGGATGCAATATTAGCTGTATTCTAACAATACTCAGGTTATGAAAAGCTGCATAGGAGCCAGGTATGGTAGCACACTCTTGTAATCCCAGCATTCAAATGGCTGAAGCAAGAGGATTGGTACAATTTCAAGGCCTGCCTGGACTACATACTAAGACCCTGTCTCAAAAAAAAAAATTGCAAATTAGCAAGATATGTATGAAAGAATAATGTCCTCTCTTCACTGAAGGAACAGAGAAAAATATTCTTTGTGAAACCACTTCAAAGAACTTTTTCTGATAATGTGTTGAATTTGAGAACTTTTAGATAAATATCAACCTTGTTTTTGTTTGTTTGTTTTGTTTTGTTTTTGTACTGGGGATGGAACTCGGGTCCTTGTGCTTGCAAGGCAGGAAGCAGAACCACTGAGCTAAATCCCCAGCCCCTCAACCTTGTTTTATTCATTTACATTTGTGCAAATGGAGACTTGGTGTCTATCCAATATTACCATCAACTTACTTTGTTCTCTATTCATATAAGTGTGTCTTTGGAAATATAATTTGAATGAAGGGGTACATGTAAGACTCTTGTCCTATAAAAATTATTCTCAAAATATACACATAGTGCCTACTAATTTTCATAATGGTCATTTATTTATTTTCCTAATAACAGTCTGCTAATCAGTGTTTCTATATTCCTAAACACTATGAATACTGTAATTATAAATACAGAATACTGTCTCCTCAAATCAAAACAGGATGATTGATGTAATGTAACTGCAGATTTAAAAATTTTCACAAGCAGATCAAGTCTGGTCTCACCTAAATTAATAGCACAGAATGGGAATAATTATGAAAGAAGCTCCCCCCAGAGGCAAGAAAGCATAATCATCTTTCACATTTACACAGCAGGGTGGTTATAAATCACACAATCCCATGTACCATGAAAATAGTGTTTATTTTCTGTGACCAGTGAAATCTGCATCACCCCAATACAACACTTGGTTGGGACTTTGACTTGCCAATCAGTAGAATCTCCCCCTCTTTTGGTTAAAACGCTGTACTGGGCAAAACAACTTGAAGTCTATTCTCTAGACTTTGGATAGCCTCTTTTTTGCTTCTGGGGTGAGGAAAGGTGTGCAACCTCCTGGAAAAAGAGAGAGAGAGAGAGAGGGAGAGAGAGATTGTTACACTCCTCTTCTAGGGTCTCTTGCACCTCTGGTTTTCCTTCTTCTGATCACTGGGCATCTTACTGGCTCACATGGGTACCGCAGATCTCTCTACATCTCATTTATGTCTGGTTCAAGCTAGCTTATTTCTATGTGACACTGGTTAGGATCTTAGGGAACTTTGCGGGCTGCCTGGCGCCCTTCGCCTGGTTTTGACACATAACCGTGCTGACATTTCTACACATGGCAGACAAGGGGGGAGAAAAACAGATGTAAATCACCAAACCCTTAAATCCTTCAAGTTCAAGTTCTTTGCTTTACCTCTGATTTCTCCATTCTCCCCTGACTCAAAATATTTTTACTGCATTAGGGCTGGGGATTTAGCTCAGTAGCACCACACTTGCCTTGCAAACATGAGGTCTTGAGTTTGATCCCCAGTACTGCCCCCAAAATAAATATTTTTACTGTGTTGGTGGTATATTGATGAATGTAGCTGCCTACCAAAATAGTTTTAATTTCTTCCAGAGCTGTAGAGAAAAAGATATCTTTTAGAAAAATTTCTTTCTCGATTATTACTTATAAAAATTATAAATTAGCAGTTTTAGACTTCTGGGCTATCATATTGAAGAGTTTTCTGTAAACTATTTTCTCTGCCATGAGTTTAAAATAATTTTAGAATTATTATCAAACGTCAAATAATTATTATAAAACATCAAAAGGCACCACTAAAGGCTAGGGGTGTAGCTCAGTAGTAAAGCATTTGTCTAGCATGTACAGGGCCCTGATTTGATTCTTGGTGCCAGAAAAGCAAAACAACAACAACAAACAAAACAAAGATTAGATACCACTAAATAAAAAAGACAACCTACTACAGTATATGGCAGAAAACGTGTAATGACAAACAAAGGGTTCATAACCAGAATATACGAAAAACTTAAAAATCAATAATAAGAAAACAATCCGGTGAAAAAATAGGTCAGCAAATTGAATAAGCAATAAACAAGAGTATATTACAGTGACAAATTAATATATTAAAAGATGCCCAATCTCATTTTTCTTTCAGATATGGAAATTGAAGCCAGAATGAGATAGCACTCAGTTGTAGGATTTGAACTTAAGGCAACTGAGTAATAATTGGAGAAGTTCATGCCATTAAAAATTTTTACTACATACAATTTCCAAGAGAAAGGCGCGTATCATAGCATGAGGGCAGCTGGGGAATGCCAGCTTTTGTAAGGAGCAAGAGGAAAACAGGAGTCATAGCTTTTATTGGGTTTCCTGCAGGAGAAACAAGGCAGGAAGGAAAGAGTTTAAGATTGACCACTTGGAAGGGTGCCAGTGCTAGGTTCTAGAGTTGGTCTGTTACCTGGCCCTAGGTGATTTAGGGTAGGTAAACTATCTCCTTGCTGTGTGAGAGTTAGGAAAGGTGAGGTGGTGCTTGGGGCCAAGCAGAGTGGCACACCTGTAATCCCCCCTACTCAGGGGGTTGAGTCAGTAGGATTTTCAGGCTAGCCTGGGCAATTCAACAACTTTATCTTCAGTAAAGCATTCTAACTGCAGATGTAGCTAGATGATAGATCACTTACCTAGAATGCACAAAGCCCTGGATTCAATCCGTTTGAAAAAAACAAACAGGAGGTAAGGAGCAGGGTATAGTGGAACACACTTGCAATGCTAGCACTCAGGAGGCTGATGCAGGAGGATCACTGAGAGTCTGAGGCCAGCCTGGGCTACATAGTAAGCTCGAGGCCAACTTGAACTGCATAGCAAGACCATGTCTTTAAAAAATAGGGATATAGATTTGGGATTGGTTGGAAGTTTGGAATAGGATTTGCTTGCAAAAGCTGGATCCAACAAGGGGAAAAAATGAGAACCAAGACCTGTCATGTAAAGGTACAAGATCCCAATAATGAATGTAACTGTACTGTATACTTAAAATGTACCAATAAACTAAATGAGGAAAAAAAAAGCTGGATCCAGAAGAAACATATGCAAAATTCATGTGGACCTGTGATTAATGAATGCCAAATAGACAGTCCAGAATCCAAGAAAACAGAACTGCACTGCACCTACTAGAAAGGCTAAAGTTAAAGAGAAAAACTGATAATACCAATATGAGACCAGTAATAGAAATGTCCATCCACCGCTGGTGTACCAAGCTCAATATTAGGAAAACTAATAAGGGACTGAGAAGGTCAAGTGATTATGCCTACTCTAAGGGAGTGTTATTGGAAAGGAAGGGACACAAAGAGGACAGGGAAGTCTCTTTCTTAAGCTTAATTAGCAAAAATCAACACAAATAACACGCAATGACATACATTTATTATACTGTTTCATGTTACCCAGATTTTCTGACTCTTCCATAATTTAGTACATGGTCATCTTGACCATCTTATCCATCCCCAAGACAATTTGCTGGTCCTCTTAACTGATGACATCAAGCTGGTAGGATATGTAGCATATAAAACAGCGAGAAACTAAAGTACAAAAGGCCTTCTACTTCTTTAATTCTTTTTGGTGTTTACTGATGTTTGTTTGTTTGTTTGTTTTTGGCCTTACTAGGGATTGAACCCAGGGCCTTGGCACTACATCACCAGCTCTTTTTAAATTTTTGAAATGTTGAGACAAGTTCTCACCAAGTCACTAAATTACTTAGGCTGATCTCAAACTTGTGGTTCTCCTGCTTCAGCCTCCCATAGAGCTGGGATTACATGTGCACACTGCTATGCTTGGCTTTTGTTTAGTGATTTTGCAAATAAATGTCTGCTCCAAAATAAAGGACACATTGGCTTGTTTTCTTTTGGTTTTGGCTTCGTTTGAAGTAGGGTCTCACTGTACAGTTCAGGCTGGCCTTGAACTCACTGTGTAGCTCTGGCTGGCCTCAAACTCTCAGTGATCTTCCTGCTGCAGCCTCTCAAGTCCTAGAATTACAGGCGTGCTCTGCCATGCCTGGTAGGACCCATCTAGAACTTGTGCTACTTACCCCTAAACAAACAAACATACATCACATGGTTTGGGTAAGTTATAGGCAATGTGTAGCATGCTTGCGTTCTCTGGTCCCCTGAAAGGAAGCCACATTTGAATAAGAATGAGAGGAAAAAAGTCTTCCATTTGGCCCATTCTGCTGTGCAATTTAGTTCTTCCAATCTTACTTTTTTTTTTTTTTTTTTTTTTTTTTTTTTTTGTTACGGT